CCGCAGAAAAAAGGTCAGAATAGGGTCACGATACCCTTTTTCCAGTCCAATCTGGATACCAGACCCGATGATTCTGACTACCCAACGAATATCACGGGTCTGGTATCACCCAATGTCACGTGACCAAGACTGCAGAAATCCCTCCAGTTTTCAAGAAATAGCCGAAATATTCTGAAGTCGCCCCGTCTATATTCTGCATATTGGGGTGGTATACCGTTCATGTTTGGTTATTCCCGGTCGGTTAGGTGGGCTTGTTGAACGTAAACCGTTAACAAAAGTTACAAACATGGGTGTGTGCGTGGAAAGAATGTTGCTGTACAAGAATTGATCAACTAAAAGAGTTTCAAAAATGCTTAACGTATGATTTTTAATTTTCGGAGATTTTTTCAAGTGCGCCTCATTAGGGAACAGTTAGCTGAATTTGAACCCACGCGTAAGGGAATGAAATCGAAAACATCCGGGCTTCAACTTGTGACCTCTGACCCTTGCGTCATATCTGTTTATCTATGTGGGTGATGCCTGACCTAGTATTTGCTTTTTCAATGGTCGTCAGAGAATCTTTTGGCAGGGAACCAGACTATCTTCAGTCGGGGGGGGGGGCTGGTGCCATAGTCAAGAAAACCTTTGACATCCCCCCCCAAACACAATGCAACTACTCAGACAGCTGTCTAGACAGCCCAGAGACACGCAAGAGAGACCGAACATTGATATAAGACAGGCCCTGGCTTGCCTAGGCACTATCTGTGTAAACACTCCCATATTACCGCGTGGCTAATATATTTATACACAATCCTCTGTGACTGGGCCAGATGCTGGATTAGGCGTAATGTATTCCAGCCAAGGGGAAGTCCCTACCTTAAAGGTGACTAAACTAGGTTGTTCAGTTGGAGAGAGGAAAAGGATTAGACGGAAGGTCATTGCATTTGGCATTAATGTTTATTAATTAAGAAATTTTAAAAATGGCCGTCAGTGATTGACGGATTTTGCATAAAATAAGGGTCAACACAAAACTGGCTAGACTTATCCAATGTCAAATATTCGTGTTCGTATCTCTGACAACCGTTGTGAGGGTAAATTATGATTCTTGGAGTTGTTTACACGTGTTAAAACGTTGGGTAGAGCTCTCATGCATAGTGCAGCGTTTGGAGGAGTCGACAAAAAAGTTTTACCATGATCAACCTTTTTTAACCAGTGCCCAATCCCAGATGAATAAAATAGAGGAGGTGGAACCGACAATGAACTTCAAGTTGATGTTGGGTGACAAGTGACGGTGACTGAGGTTGACCACGGTCTGGTGGTGGGGCTTAGTAGGGTATGGACATTGGGATATAGAAGATCGTATGGACCAACTGGATCCAAGCAACTCTCCAGTCTCACAAGGACAAACAAGACCCCAAGCCAGGGGTCTACAGGATCCCCTGCGAATGCGGCAAGGTGTACATTGGCGAAGAAACTGGCAGAGATCTCACTACCAGACTCAATGAACACCGAGCCCACGGACGACGGGGGGATCTCGAGAAATCTGCCATCATCAAACACTCCGGCACTGAAGATCACCAAGTCCACTGGCAGCAAGCCCATCTCATTGCCAACATAGAACAATGGCATCCATGCCGTGTTCGTGAGGCAATTGAGATTCACAAGAACAGAACAGTTCCGCAAAACACAGGCTTCACCATCAGTGACATCTGGCGCCCCATCCTCAACCCTTCTTAGTCCGCCTCATGGGTCATCTATACCCTTGGCACCCTGCCCCAGTTCTTCCTTTAGTCTGCGTATGGGTCCTCTATACCCTTGGCACCCATGTTTACCCATCCACACCCCTATCAGTACTGCCACACCTAAGTACGTTT